CGCCATGAGTGGGGCCGGCCCCGCGTCCCCCGGCCGCGGCAGCGCGGCAGCCCCGCCGCCCRCCGACAGGAGACGGGACTCGCCGGCCGCCGGGTCCCCGATCCAGCCCATCATAAAGGGTGAGGAGGGAGCGGAGCGGGCTCCCGACCGTGTCGAGCCCGCCGTGTAGCCCCGCGGGCAGCGGCGGAGAGGTGGCCCAGGGGTCCCGGGAGGGGAAGCTCGTCCCGTGAGCGGCCGGAGTGTCCTGGGACCACCCAGGACCCGTCCACCTCTCCGGGATTCCAGCGCCTTCCAACCCTCCGAGGTTCCGCGGCGTGTGCTGAGGTTTAAAGCTGGACAYCTGGGAAGCTTAGCTGGCTTTCATCTCTCGCAACTGGATACCGGGGTGCCTCTGTGGCTTTATTTCGGGGAGCCGAGTGGGCCACCGCGGCCCTTGCCCCCGCCATGGAGTTTTCCTGGGGAAGCTCGCTCTTGGGTCTTTTTCGCCCAAGTTCTGGTTAATCCGTGCACAAAAGCGTTTGGAATCTGAATTGGTTTAGCCCATGCTTTATTTACTGCTATCATGTCTTTCTCCAATTTCTAAATAAGCGTTCTGCACCGTTTTGGAACGGGGTGTGGGATTCAGAGTGTTGGACAAACACAGGCGGATACAGTAGAGACGGGGAGTCACAGTGCASGTCCAGCAGCTGGGGCAGGACAATGTATCCTTTAAATGGCAGTTCCAGCTTAAAGTCTTCTTTTGGGACTACCCTGTATATTTCTTGAAACGGTATTTGCTCTGCTCTCTCAGTGCTTTTCAATTTAGCAGGCTTTTTCTTTATGACAGACATGCCTGTTTTTCCACACAAGTAGTAAATACTCTTTTCCAAGACTGAATTTCAAGCCTGGCCCTGGCATACAAGCAAATGCTGACAGTTTTCCTTTGTAGTGAGGATTCCTCTTGTCTTTTGCTACAGAAGACTCCCACATTTAAGATGTTAATCTCTGTTAAAGTGCAGCGTTTCCTTCTGTTCTTTTATCACCTGTAATCAGATATGGAAGCTGTACTGAGCAGAAAGCAGATTGAGACAAAGGGTGCTGAGCCACAGAGAAGAATATTCACCTTCACAGAAAGGTGTCTGGCATCTGGAATACTGGTTCGTTGTGTTTTGTCTAAGCTGGTGGCTTGCTGCRTAGATAGGTTACTCTAGATATACTGTTCTGATGCTCTTCTGGTTTTCTATGAATTTGCTGAGCAGCAGTCCTTCCTCACTGAGGTATGGTGTGCTGCCTCTGTTGTGTAGCCTGGTATGAGAGTGAGAGACAAACTAAAATTCTGGCTTTCATTCATATTCTAGATGTTGGGGAAGTCTATTCAAGACTGCTGGATCACAGACCAGTAATTCAGGGAGAAATACGTTACTTTGTTAAAGAATTTGAAGTAAGTATTGTATCTTATGGGATACTATCATGGTCTTACACTTCGAACTATGCTATCTTTTTAGATATCATAGTAGGTATATCTTTCTTCAGAAGGATTTGACATGGATGTTTTTCCCAGAATAACATACCTGTTGTGTATGTCTGCATCTTTAGTAAACAAGGCAGTAATTTAGGTCTTTGTCTTTTAAAAGTTTTGATAGGGTCATTTTTTTTTTTTGTCCTGCAAAAGACTGACAGGAATATTGATGTAGGAGAATAATGTAGTYCTAACATCTTAGAGAGGTCCAGTTGGTTCAAGGAAAGTATTGTTGGCCAGTATAGGTTTACGTCTTATTGAGAAACTACTTTATGCCTCAGCTGGATTCAGCTAGCTCAGTTGTAATTTTATTTTCTTTTGATTTTTGTTACCCAAGAGGAAGTGATATTACTGGAAGAGAAGAGCAGCACTTCATGCAAAGTAACAAAATCATTAAAAATTGAATGACTGCTATCTGATTGGCTACAAATAAGGCTAAAGTACTGAATGTACGAAGTGTGTATGTACAGCTTTGCCTGGAACAGACAATTTGATTTCCACAAGAGGGCAGCAAAAGCTTAGAAAATTTGAATCTTATRTCAGCAAAAGGCTGTTCGTGCGTAGATTTTCTTTTTCACAGAATATGGAATTTAAAGTCAGTCCTGAAAATGCAGTTACACCTCAAACTTCCAGTATGCAGACCTGTTTTGAATGACATTAAAATGTCTTTCCTCTCACCCCCCCCCAACCCAGATTGTAGCTTATGTTTTGAGCAGGTCTATTTCGTCTCTGCTGGTTTAGGAAAATAAGCATGTGAAATAAACTCCTATCATATCTGTATTGTATGGGCTTGAGAGCCATTAGAAATTATTTCTTTTCTCTGTTTTCCCTAACTAAGCTGTAGAATACAGTGAGTAGTTTTRCATGTCATTCCACAGGAAAATAAATTTTAAATTCATGGATAAAATTAGAACTTACATCTTYAGGTTTTTAATTCATGTATTTGTCTCGTTGCACCTGAAGTCTTGTTCTGTTTTTAAGGCACATTTAATATATTCTTGGATCTTATATTGAAGTTTAATTACTGGTTTATACTTTTATGGGGGAAAATAGCAAAGTATAGGATTGTTTAAATTTTTAATACTTAGAATTTCTTCTGAGTAGGCTCAGACTGGGACCCAAAAATTCCACTTTTTTCTAACTTTGAAGTATGAGATACTCTTTGGTTGTAGTAGAACATGTGTGCTTTTTTTGATTGTTACCACCTAGTGTGTGAGGAATGGAGATTTGCACTGAGGAAATCTAGAGCCTGTTTAATTATGTGGTTTTACTTCTCTATGCCTCTGTTTCTGAAGAAATATACCCATTTTAAATTGGGTATGGTGACCATGTCTCACTTCATGTGATACAGTATTTTTTGTTTAAGTGGAGTTTTTATCTAAAGGAAAGTGCTGGTGAAATTCAGAGTGGACATAGTGCTATGGCTTCAGAAAAATAGATTTTTTTTTTTATTTAGACAATTAAACATTGTCTTGCTGTACTTGTAATTAATCATGATCAGTAGCGAGTTAGAAGAGCTGCCTCTTTAGTCAGCTATGTTATTTTTTAGTCAACTTCATTGCTTCACTTCAGTTAAAATAATTTTACTTGCATTGTTTTCACCTCATTTCATSCTAAATGCAGAGGGTCAGATCAAGCAAGCAGAATCACTGTTGTGTTATTTCTCAGTAACAACTGAGTTATAAAAATGGAATGTGTTCAAGCTCTGTTGCTCTCTGTTGTTTTAGATATGCTGTAAATTATCTATACAAAACAGCACATTTTTCCACACAGTGTATAGCTAGTTAATACTGCCTTTTCTCTCCAGGACCGAGGAGACATTCAAAGAATTGTTGTATTTTAATGTGAAGAGTGGAACATTGCTCTCTTTTTTTCATGAATATTTTTATGTATGTTGTTAAATAARTAGAGTAACATTTTAGTAGACAATGGTGTGGTCTTTGAGATGAAGCTATAAGTTTATCAACTGGGAAACCACCTTTATTTTAAAACATGGAATTCTTTGCTAGCCACTCAATTTCTTTCATTTTTCTGGCAGGAAAAACGTGGCCTCCGAGAACTGCGAGTACTTGAAAATCTAAAGAACACAATCTTTGAAACGAATGAACGCATTCTTCCRAAGTGTGAGCAGGCAATGCAAGACAATTTGAGTGAAACCTTCAAGAGATGTAAGGAGGTTGCGTCTTACTACTCTTGATGCATCATTTTGAGGGGTAAYTTAAATAGTTTAGATTCAAAGTATGATTTGTTAGGAAGTTACCACACTTGGGTAATTTCCTACTGTTTATGTGCTTTGTTTTCAGTTCTGTGGAATTTTAAAAGGGAAACAACAGGGATGTTGTTTGATATGTAGTASTTCAGCCAATCAGCTCTTGCTAAGGTTACATTAAAGTTTTTTGTTGATTTAAGTAGAAGCTGTTTCAGCTCATTTTTTTCCTATTCACTTGGAAATAGTGCTCCATGTTGACCAAAGCCATGGACAAAATTTCTGTTTCCTGATTAGTTGCAAGCATGTTGTGTGTGACCTTCAAGTTCCTCAATTTTCCCACAGAGTGCATACTGTCTCCCATCATTTAAAACTAAACTTGTTACTGTATAACTATGAAATGTATAATTATTTTTATATTTATTTACAAATTGGGAAGTAATAGTARTTGCATGCTACTCTGAGTTTCATCATTATAGTAATTAATATATTTCTTTACTGCTCCGATTTTCAAAGAAAGTTTAAGATTTTTACTAATTTTTAAGTATTCTTTTTTTCTTACTCATTCAGCAGGATGGTTTCTTCAAAAGAGATTTTAAGAGAGTGTGGGTACATCGGTTTAGTTGCCAAAGTTAGGCAGTTGGAACATACCACTGTGGGTTTTGTTACAATCTATGTGTGGCATCTTGTATAAGCATTTAATTTCCTCTAACTTATTTATATGGCATCTGGCACATTTAGAATAGCAAATGGTAAATGATGTTTTACACATAAAACAATAGCAGGAAAATATTAAAATTTAAAATTTAATCATGCAAATAAGACGTGTTCTAATACCATCCAACTGGGGTGAACCTTCGATGCTGCTYCCTGACTTTCTAATGGCCAGCTGTGCAGTACATCTTTAGTAATAGAGTCACAGAATGGTTGAGGTGGGAAGGGACTCTTGGAGGTCATGTCCAACCTCCCTGCTCAAGCAGCAGCAGCTTGAGCCAGTTGTCCAGGACTGCATTCAGTTCCTKCTTTGGGGAAGTGAGTTTATTTAATTCTGCGTTAATTAGGTGTTAAATAAGTTAGGGTGGGAAAGTACATAGAAATACAGTTCCTATTTCCATTGAGAAGTTTGCCCAGGCTTAGTCTCATGAGAGAAAAGGACTCCCAGGATAAAGATGTGTTGTCCATACAGACAGCTGATCAGAAAAAAATAAGGAAAAAAAAACCCAACTGACTAAAATGTGGAGTTTGATCACCTGTTTCTACTTACTGACTTGAGAGGGGTTTTTGATGTCATCTGAGGTGCTGAGTAGTGCACTCCAGCTCATCAGCAACCCTGAGAGTGTGGGCACAAGAGGACCTCACTGTCTTTCTGGTTTTGGCCTCTAGAATACACTAAGGCTGAACTCTGCAATAAGCCTACTTATTTTTATAAGTGTAAGAATTATAGGTATAAAGCATTTTCTGCAGGTACTGATGACTCTCAGGCAGAGTTAAGTGACATAGTGGAATAAAATCTCTACCTTGCAAYAGCCCCACATCTTCTAAATCCCTTTCAGGCAAGTTTCTTTGATTTACAGCAGCCGACTGATCTACTGCAATTTGTTATTTCAGTGCAAGCTGCCAACGCTATGATCCATAGACTCCAAGAGAGGGAGTATGAARCAAGAAAGGTAAAGGATGGATGGATAGATTTTTATTATGTGTTCTAAGAGTCTTGTGCTTCACAGCAAGTTTTTCTGCCTTCGTACAGCAAAACTTAAAAACRTATTTTTCTATACCTTATATACTTGCCCTGAAACTTCTTCTGCACTTATAAAACACACTCTGTGAAGTTAATGGATCTAGCTAACTCTTCCTACAATCTCCTGGTATATAGAAACTATTTTTTTTATTTCCTTTGCTTTATTTTCTCTCCTAGCTCAGACTATAACATTTGTCACATACAGGGAAAGCTTAAATATAAAAAAAGCTTATTTTCTGTGGAACAAAAAACATCTACTAACYTACCAGAATGGAAATGTAAATCTTTCCTAGTTAGCTGAGAACATTGACCATATTATATATATATTGCTTGTTGAAAAGGAAGTGTGTTTTTCACTTGTGGATGGGTTATTTAATGAAGGGCTATATTATAGGAACATGCGAATCATTGGAACCTTTTCAGCTGGCTAAGCTTTGCTTGTTTGAAATACATGTGCCCTGAATCAAAAACCTGGAAAATTATACAAGAAATTATTTTCATATTTTCCCATTACTACTGTATTGTGTTCCTGTGTTATCTCTCTACTTGCAAAATTCTGGTAATAATAATTTAGTTCAGAAAAAATRAAGAAGTTTCCATGCCATCAAGCAAAACAGGCTGTGCATTGATGGATGTAAGCTGATAGTCATGTTTTTCTTTCCTTTTTAGCAAAACATTGATGAAGATGGGCAGTCCAGTTGCAATTGAATACTGGTACTGAGCAAATAGCACACTCCTGAGCACTGACAGAGTTTGGTTGTGTCTAACAGTAATGTAGAGGGGGTTAAATGAGAAATTCTTGCAGTTCTGCTACTGTTTGTTTGAAGTAAAATTTTAATAAGAAATTTATAACTTATAAAAGGAACAGTCAGTAAGAATATTGACTATTCTTTTTGAAAACATTAGGTGTATGTTTCCACTTCTTTTTTTTTTTTTTTTTTTTTTTTTAAATATGTAATGGAAGAATACTTAGTTGTTCAGAATTCATCGCATTTATTAGAGTTTGTATGGTAATGCTTTTTGGCTTGAAACTTTCCAAATGGCAGTAGTAACAGGTCGCTAACCTTTTAAAAACTATAGATAAAAGTTGTTACTGTAGTGCAGCCCCTTGAGGAGAAACATTTTTCTCTTACTTTTCAAAAATTATGTGTTCTGAAAAGATAATGTGATTTTGGTTGCACGCAGTGTCAGGTTTGGATAGGTGCTGTGTAAGTGTGTCAAACCACTGTTTCAAAACCTGATGAATACAAAGTAGTGTACCAGTCAAACTGTATACAATGGTGTATTTTGTTAGTAGATGTTACTGTATCTGCTGCAAACAAAATGTATCTTGGCAGAATATTGTTAAAGTGTGTCAGATTCTGCACTGGAAAAATCGTGTACATAGCTCATGCTATGTGATCTTGAAGAACAGCAGAGTATTTAGGAATACGTAAATGGATGTTTATGTATATTAAGTGCCTTTAATTGACAAAAATGCCACGCATGGGAAACTGTCATGGCTGATACACTGAAAAAGAGAGGGGTTAARAAAAGAAGGATTAATCCCCTCTTCTGCTGGGAGATGGAGCAAATGGAAGAACAACTGCCTATTTATTTTGGCTTCTGCACCTCCAATATAAGGGGCCAGACTGTTAATACAGATCACAGGCAATCCACAGAATTACATTACACTTTGTCATGTGCATTGGTTGTATATGATGTATATGATCTCTCATGTATATGTGTATATGATCTCTCTTTCTAGATATACAAACATTTTTAATTTTTTTTTTCTTCAAGATAAGAGAGTGAAAGGAATTAGATTTACCAGAAGCCAAACAATAGAAAAGTATGAGGGGAAAATGACTTATTTATAAGGGAAAACATTAATCACAGTGAGAACTAGCTGGCTARAACAGAAACACTAGCTGCCAGTTTCAAAACATGTAATATGTCGTTATAGGCTATAGAAATAGCATAATTGCTAATACAGTTATGTTAATAGTATTGCAAACATTTTAGCACTTGTTTTGGATCGGCTATACAAAAATAATGTTTTCTTCTTAGTTTCACTTTTCCATATGTTTTCTTGCTAGTTTCCAGTTTTTCTGATTCTTTAATGTTATATAGCTTTCATTAAAGCCCCTGTTTTCATATGGAAATTATTGTTAAAAGCTTCCTATTTTCCTCCTCTCAGCTTCAGGCAGACAAGGTGACGGCTCGTGAAGAGAAGTGCATYGCCCACTGGGAGGAGTTCATGAAAGAACAGCAGAACAAACGTGCAGAAGTGGACGAAGAGCACAGAAAAGCCATAGAGCGCCTCAAAGAGCAGTATTCTGAGATGGAGAAGGAGCTGGCCAAATCTGTTTCTTTTTAAGAGCTTTTTTAATAATGCTGGATTTGTGCCATGCTCAGTTGCTTCTGACTTAAGTTGAAGTTCTTTTGGAAAGCTGAAACTGATAGCAAAAAGGAGAATTTCCTCCACAGGYTTGGTATGGGAAGAAAAGGTTTGCATATTTTCAACTTAAGTGCCTATCTATGCTTGTTTGGTTCAGGGCAGGTGGAATGCCAGTATTTCTTTGTTTGTTGGAAGGTGGAAATGAAAATTCTGTGACTGCATCAGCTCAGGGAGTTGCAAACTGGAGCTCTTTCCCATTGGCAGAGTATCATATCATTTGGGAAAACAGAGACTAATGTAGTGCTAACTATCCCAGTGTGCAGCCACAGCCCTTTCCCCAAAAGGAGGTTAGCAGGTTCCAGCCATAGTTAGCTGAGAATTCACTGGGAAAAGTATATTATGCTTGAAAATTTCAAGAAAATAAAACTTGTCTTGAGGAATATTTTACTTTGAAGTCTTACTGGTGAAAGATCTCAACAGTTTTAAACCAAATTTTAATTAAACTTTTGGGTTGTATGTTCAGTATTATGAAGTAGAGTTACAATCTGAATGGGTTTTTGTTAACATAAAAATGGTAAAGTAGGTTTGGTCAACAATTCCTACATTTTTTTCTCCTTGTAAATTTCTCAGGACTCTCTTTTTAAGCTTTATTGTTTTAAGCAAAGCCAAAACAAGCTAAAAAGTAATCACRAGAAGCATATCAGTCTTTGTATTAGCTTTGTAGCTAGTACAATTTCACCTTAAATATTTGGCATGCGGTTGGTTTACTTAGGATAAGCCTGTCAGAACTCCATGAAGCAATTGAGGTAAGATTCTTRTTTCCTTATCAGCATAACAAATGAGCAGATTAGTGGTAAAATGCCTGTAGTACTGATCTGCTTTCTTACTAACTTACTCTTAGAGTTTATGTGAAACTCCTGCACTGCTCTATGTTATTCCAAACTTGCAGTTACCAGCAGCGTAACTGAAGAAGTTAACTTAATCAGTTCATTAACCAAGGAAAGTGAGACGTGGTACCTTAATGAAATTTGCTGCAAGCTAACCGTTAGTGCAGGAAATATCTTTCCATAATTTAGCTGGTGTCYGATGTGGAATGGAAACAGGTAAAAATAAACAGAATTTACTCTTTACCTGTATTGCAGCAGTAATATACCAACAAAGGTTGCTTGTGTAGGTTTATGGCTTGGTTTCAAAGCTCCATTCCTGGCAGCATGTTGATAGTGTGATTAAGGTTAGTAGAGGAGATGGAATAAGTATTTGAGATTTCTTTCAATAACACTGAATTCCTGCCAAGCTGCTCTGCCTGCTACTGTAGACCCAACAGCTTCATCAATCATCACCATGTATCTGGACTGAAAAGAGGACTTGCCAACCTGGGGCATGCTGGAATGTTGTTAATTCTCTGTTCTGAATGGAAAAAAACATAGATGTCTCAAAAATATCCCACACATGAAAAATAGGAAAGTCTCTTTTAAAACAACTCCTATCTGGATAGAGGGTGAATTCTGTAAGACTTCTCAGCTTATGTACCCATGATGAATGTTGTAACTAAGCTCAGACTTTTCATTTCAGAAGAAGTTAGTTCTTGCCTGTCTTTAGAACTGGGTATGTAATAGTTTTGTTTGGAGCACAGATTGGAAGTGGCTCCTCTCTTACCAGATTACTTGATGCATATGTGCTCAAAGCCCAAATATCTTTGTAACAAAATGCATTTAACTGCATACAGAATTAATTTTTATTTTTGCACTGACAATTTTTATTAAGATTTAGATATCTAATTAACTGTGCACTGGAGCTGTAGATTTTAGTGTTTCATCAATTTGAGGGCTCATAAGCAATGATGCAAGTGTTACAAGTTGGATAGTCACTGGAAAATAAAGTGGTATTTCCAAAACCTGGRATTTGTGCTGATTCTTTGAAAAGCCTCTGAAGTACTAACACTGAAAATGTGTTCCTCTTTCAGAAAATTTTATGCTGAAGAATATTCTATGCTGAAGGTCGTTTAAAAGCACATTTCTTCAAAATCTCACCTACCTCTTGGTCAAAGTTATTCACTATGGAAACTAAATTAAAACTGTCTGTTCCTAAATAATTTMATTTAGTAACTTTCATTCTTTTTTTGCATGGTATGCTATAGATTTTGAGTCACTTAGAAATGCTTAATCGTCTTTGAAGCAACTTGCCAACATTTCTAGGAAAACCTACTTTTTCTGTCCAAATGCTTTAAAAAATCTCAACCAGTACCTGTTTCCAGTACAATCTCAATATGTCTGACTGCTAACATCTTCAGCAGTTTTTTATCAAGGTGGTACTATAGTCTGTCTGGACACAATAGTTTTCCACAGTGCAACTTCCTTTGCAGGATTCAAATTCCTGTTATTCACAGTCCCAGGCATTTGGGAGAAACAGGAAAATAAAGTTTATTGGTTCGTTTTGTGTCATTGGTGTATGAAGGAAGTTTTACTTGCAATTTTACATTACTGAATTCCATAGCTTTAAAAATCTTGGGGATTTATTTAATCCCTGTTAAACTTGATAGAAGTTTGCACTAGATTCCAATAGGAGTTGGAAAGACTCTTCAGTAGTAAGTTAACCTCTAGTATAACAGGTGAGTTTTGCAATCTGTCTTTGTACCAGTCTATGTGTATAACTTTTTTGCTTAACTATTAGTGCTGTTTATTTTGCTGAATTGGTCTTTGTTACCAAAAGTGAGGTTGAGTGTCATGAAATCATTGGAATATTTTAGTCATTGTGTTCTAATGAGAACATAGCAAGAAACCAATGTCTTGCTTGGAACTGCTGCACGAAATCTGTCACCGCTGTGTTTGAGAGCAATAACAAATTGAGGGACTGAAGAGAGATTTAAGGGTGTTGGATTTTTTAAACTACCTTATGTTACCAATGAACCTGTGTGCTGTTCTTCTTGGAATGTTTTGCATCTAAGGCCTACCACATTGTTTTAATCTTAGAAATTAAGGAGAAAGCTGATTTGTGTGTTCTTCATCTGTTTCTTTTTATGGTGACACTAGGTAATACTCTCAGTAGAAAAAAATACCTCTTACAACTGGAACATCACATCTCTGACAATTTGTGGCTTGGTAAATCTTCCCTCAAAAATTGTGGAGTTTTATTTCAGTAGTCAAACCATATAGCAAATAGATGGCATAATCAGCCAGTGAATTGAATCAGTTCGCTGCTGAGTTGATAAAGATGTGATGTCTCAAGGGTGTGGATTTTGAGGTTGACAAATGTTCCCCCAGCAGGTGTCAGTGCAGCCTGGAGAAGGAGCACAAGGAAGCCCGGTTTTATGTGAGGTATGAAATGTAAAATGCTGTTCTTCAGTTGTAGCATGGTGTTTCTTGTAAATAAAAGATGTTTTGTGCATAAAGCCACTTACTTTTTAAGATAAAGTGACACTACTTACCCGTGGCATTTGTCCTATTAGAACAGGACACTCTTAAGGTTACTTCTGTAACGTGCTGATGTGAACAGTATTGTCTTCAGTTCTGCATTCTRATTAAAATTTATTATAATCTGAGATTAGACTCAAATGTTGGAGATTAAAACCTTYAAGAGCTGCAAGGTTGTTACACTGTTTTAGTTCAGGTTTTCTGAAAATTTGATACAAAAGTTTAGGCTTATTGAAAGACATTGTGCCATAAAAAGGAAATGGGATCTTGGGCAAATAAAATTTGTGAACAAAATTACTATACCACACATTTTTAAAAAAGGCCAGTTGTTTTAATTGCTTATAATTAAATTAACTTCTCAAAATGGTACAGATGCAGTGTGCTTAGTACTGTTGGTCAAGCTTCTGGTCTGTGTGTCAAGATGCAGCAGAATCTGCAGGAAGATGGAATTGCAGCAGCTGTAGTAGGATTTTTATGAATAACACAATTTTCATAAAGAATCTAGTCAAAGATTGTTCAAAAATTCCAAATAATATAGAAATTTAAAAGAGAAGGGAGAAGTCAAAAGCATCAGAGTCTATTTTGAAGCAGTTAACAAAGGGAGTTTTCTAAGGGTTGAAAGAAATCCTGTAGAGATACATTACCCCACATCCATGTACCTTCCAGTTCTGCAGAGTTTATAGTATTGCATGCAGTGCCTTGGCAGTTTCATAGATAAGTAAYGAGCAAGGTGGGAACAAATTTACTCAAGACAGTGATGAACATTAGAAAGCAGAAAATGTTTCAGAAGTCCTACTGTGATGTAAAACCAAAGCATTGAAACTCCAGGCTCAGACTTGTGCTTCCTAACTAGGAATCATGTAGAAACACCCAGCTAAGTTTCAGTTTGCCACCTTTAATGCTTAATCAAATCAGAACATGGATTGCTYAGATTTTTATTTAACATCATTTCATAGATGGAGAGGAAAGAGACAACGCTGTCAAGATGAACTTTCGAGACAGCTGCACTGAAGGGTGAATAATAGTGTATGTTAAAACTAATTTAAAATAAAACCATACATTTCCTCAGTCTTCTCCATTAATGACTCACTGGGTGGATACAAGGAGACCTGCAAGTGAGTGTATATATATATGTATTTTTTTTAACAGACATTGAGTTTAATGTGATGCAATGGAATTTCATGAGAGCCAAAGCATTTTTTATGGCTTTTGCTTGGTACTCATTACTAACTTTTTGAAATGGSCATAATTTATAAATTTATCCAGCATTTCATGACAGATGGTCCAATATTCTTTAATCTGGAAAATAACCCCTTYGTTCTTGCTGAAGTAAATGTTGCAGGATAAGCATTTTTAATTGTCTTTGAATTAATTGTAAAATAAATTTGCAATCTTGATTTGCAAAGCTTGTGGGGTGATACCTAGTCAGTGAATTCCCAAACTAGGATATGCAAAAATGCCTCTTGTTGCAACATGTTCTAGAATATGCATGGCACTTTTCAGTAGCTTTAGGTCTGGGAAATTTAGTTCAGAATTGCTCGAGGTCATAGGAAGTCCTTTATGAATGGACCCAAGTTTGTCTTTTCCATGTGTTTTTAGCCCTCATKAAATAAATTCCGGTTCCTGAAAATCCCCTCTCCAGATGGCTCTAAATATGTTCCACTATTTACTATGTCAACTAGAAAGCTTCTAAGCTGAATTACGTTAATAGTAAATAYTGTGCATCCTTCCAATATACTAATTGAAAGAAAATTGAACATTATTTAGAAAATATTTACTAAAYAATGTTCAAAATGTAAAGTGGGACTACAATAGTATGCCTAGGTAGCAGCTTGGCAAATTAGCTTCTGGATTCCTAAGGAGTTGTCCATCAAGCCCCCAAAGTCTTAAGGATTCAAAAGTTGTTTAGAATAAGCAGCCCGCAATACATTGCAATAGTGGGAAAATTTTCTGGAATCAGGAAGTACTTGAAGCTAATAGAATGTGTCCTGAGCAAGTTTAGAGACRGTCATCATATCAGCCAATGTGAAGAATTTGTTGTTTGAGCCACCTTGAGTAGAAAATAGAAATACTGCACAGATACCTCTGTAGGATAGCACCTTTTTCCCATTTTAACACTTTTTGTTTGCCCGTGTATCCAGGACAAGTGGGCCTAATCACTGGATACCATCTCTGGTTGTAAAAAGACTCAAAAAAACAAAACACCCAATCTCAAAATACATGCATACGTATTAAAAAAAAAAAAAAAAAAAAAAAAAAAAAAAAAAAAAAAGAAAAGACCAGGATGTAATGTGTTTTGAAATTTTCTTGCAGCTGCGATTTGCAGATGATATGCAAATGCAATTTCATTCAAAACGTGCACAAAAATATTATGTAATAAAGTTGTCTAATTATTGACTTCCATTTTTTTATCCAGCTGTTGAAGTAGGGAGGAAAGGGACAATGCAGCCCACTACATCAGATTGTTGTACAGTTTGTATTTGCCAGTGAGGTGGTCACCATCATCATACAGTCACTAAATGCAAAAATCCTCCTTCAGTTTGTTTTTAGAGCATGCAAGTCCCAGAGAATTGTGTGGTGGTCAGTCTGGAGCATGGAGAGCCATAGCAGAGTTTCTGYATGCTCTCCCTCAGTCCTTTGCAGCCCTCCCTCAAAAGAAATAACAGTCCCCACTTTATACCCTTTCCAGGCTCAATTTTACTTTAATCAAAAATAAAATTGAAATTCAAAAACTGAGTAAATTTTTGCCATTATCTTTACTCAAAATAAAGAAAGAGGCTCAAAGAAGAGCCCTTGTTATTGCAAGTTTCAGCTCTCATTACATTTTGCCCGTTGACACAAAACTGGGCCAAGACCACTTTGCTCTGCAAGGAGTTTATTCAGCAGCCAGTGTATCAGYGCTACTGTAGGTCATTGCCTCAGTGTGTTCCCTTTGAAAAGACTGCTGTGAAGAGAAACATCAGCTGAAAACTATTTCCAAATAATTTTCACACGGTAAGGAATTAKTCTTCATATATGATGTGATTTCCATGTGCACCTTCCTTCTGCTTTCAAGTTCCCAGGCTGGTTTGTCCCCCAGAATCCAATAAAGAAAGTGTAATTTCTCCCTAGGGCCTTTTCTGGTCATGCTTGATATCACTTAACATAATGAGCTTTTTACTCTCACATCATAAAAGGTTTTGTTTGAAATTTCTCTTTTTTTTTTTTTTTCCTACTTCAACAGAAAGTGTTGCTTACATCCCTTCTAAAGAATGCTCTGAGCTATGTGAAATGTGGACATGTTGTCTGGGCCAACCCCTTATCTCTGCCAGATTCAGAAAGTCTGGTTCAGTGCAGTGGCTTAGACTATATGTTTTTATTGTGTTTTGTTTCTTTTAAAAATATGTGTATGTGTGTCTTGTTAAAAAACATTGCTGCCCCCGTCTAGGAACAATGCAACACTCACATCATTTCCTGAAAGAATAGAGTTGGAAGGCAATTATCTACTCACC